ATCCCAGCTGCAGCATACCCACCCCCACTACCCCCCACACCCACAGCTCTAGCCCACATCTTTGACACCATGTCCCTCCGAGAACCCACATGGCTCATGGATACCGGTGCCACACACCATATAGCCTCAAATCCAGGTACTCTTTCTCATGTCTCTTCTCAAGCTTTATATTCACCTCATTATATCATTGTTGGTAATGGATCTAAAGTTCGCACTACGGTGGTTGGTACACACATCCTCCCCGCCACCCCTCCCCTTTCCTTACATAATGTCCTAGTTCCCCCCATATCACACACAATCTTATCTCTGTTCGCAAACTCACTCGTGATAACAACTGCACTGTTGAATTTGATGCTCATGGTTTTTCTGTGAAGGATCGTCAGACGGGGACCGTGATGCATCGGTCCAATAATGTGGGTCCCCTCTACCCTGTAGGCCAACCAGCACATGCCCAAGCTCATGTCTCATCCGTAGATCATCAAACCTGGCATCGTCGTCTCGGCCACCCAAGCCCTACAGTCCTTCGTGGAGTCCCTCATAATTTTCCTTTATTTACAAATTATCAACAAACTCTTTGTCATGCATGTCAGTTGTGAAAGCATGTGCGCCTCCCATTTTACTCTTCTAGTCGTGTTTCTTATTTTCCGTTTCAACTTCTGCATACAGACTTATGGCAATCACCTGTGCCAAGTATTACTGGTTTTAAATTCTATATGTTGCTGTTGGATGATTTTTCTCATTACATGTGGGTGTTTCCTTTAAGACATAAAAGTGATGCTTTTACTTATTTAAATTCTTTTGTGGCATATGTGAAAAATCATTTTAACACGACAATCAAAGTTGTTCAAAGTGACAACGGAACTGAATACAGAAACTCACCTCTCAAAACTATTTTTAACTCTTTAGGCATTGTTTTCCGCTTCTCCTGCCCTCACACCAGTCAAAAAACGAACGTACCGAACGCACCATTCGCACGATCAATAACACCGTCCGCTCACTCTTCTTCCAAGCCAAACTCCCCCCTGGATTCTGGGTCGAAGCTCTTTACATGGCTGCCCATCTCTTCAACATCCTACCCACCACCACTTTAAACAACCACACTCCTCACTCCGTTTTCTACAACTCACCTCCCCACTACTCCCACCTTCGCGTTTTCGGAAGCCTCTGTTACCCCAACATCTCCGCCACCACTCTACACAAACTTGCACCACGCTCTGCCGTTGCATCTTCCTTGGCTATCCCTCAAACCAACGCGGCTATAGATGCCTTGACCTTCAAACGAACAAAATCATTGTCTCCCGCCACGTTGTTTTTGACGAACACACCTTTCCATACGCTCACCCCCTCACTCCTCCCGACCTTCAATTTTTGGACTCTACGGATGACGAACCCCACCACCTAACCCACCCCGCCACCACTGCCACGGCAGCCCCGCCCCCTACCCCCCCCCACTGCCCGCCCCTCTACCATGCCCCTCTCGGCCCACCAACCCCCCTCGGCCCAATCCCAC